GTACTTTGAAATAAAATGAGGAAGCACGAACCACGTCTTCCTTGATTTGATGTCACCCGTAGAAAGGTGCAGGTAGCAAGCCCTAGCTTCAACCTGAAAATGGTGGGCCCCCCCGAAGGGGTCAGTACAAGTACCGAGCGAGTAGCAGGCTAAATATAGAATAACTAGCGTTTCAAGTATAAGACCCGAACATAGGGTGATACATATACGTATAGTCCTTCCCCCAAGTTTGAAATACATATTAGTATACATACACTTGGAAATACCCGACCCGTAGGTCATTGTTTATTTGGGAAAATAATAGTAGCCAATATCATTGACTTAAATCCCAACCCACCCATATACCTATGAGTGTATAGAACCCCCCTTTGTTCAAATAAATTATCATAAGGACACCGCCCGGTCCTAGATCATTAAATGTAATCTATGAGTTTTGAGGATACACGCCCAAACCTTGGGTACTCCACCCTATAACCGAGTTTTGAGGATAACCGCCCGATCCTTGGGTACTCCACCCTATATAATCGAGTTTTGAGGATAACCGCCCGATCCTTGGGTACTCCACCCTATATAACCGAGTTTTGAGGATAACCGCCCGATCCTTGGGTACTCCACCCTATATAACCGAGTTTTGAGGATAACCGCCCGATCCTTGGGTACTCCACCCTATATAACCGAGTTTTGAGGATAACCGCCCGATCCTTGGGTACTCCACCCTATATAACCGAGTTTTGAGGATAACCGCCCGATCCTTGGGTACTCCACCCTATATAACCGAGTTTTGAGGATAACCGCCCGATCCTTGGGTGCTCCACCCTATATAACCGAGTTTTGAGGATAACCGCCCGATCCTTGGGTGCTCCACCCGACCTATGACTTACCACATATCACACTAGATAGGGTCTATATCATATTTAGTCATCCATAACTAATTCAATACATAAAACTTATGTATCACATTCCATGCAAAGCCATGCAATTATATAAACGTATAATTAATTAATACCAATCGATATTAATTAATCCATTATCCATCGGTCAACGTTGTTGTTGACCGCCCTCTCAAGTCTTACACTTATTAACTAAATCATCACATAATTAAGTTAGTAAAATCCATTTGTGCTTCTTTTACACTTAAAGCAAATATGCATTATATAATTTCTCATATCATATTTCATGCATAAACAATTACTTCTTTTCATACGCACTTAACTATGTTGACTAATCACATGTTTAAATATCTTTTAAACATCATTATGAACACATATTACATTTATTTAGGTAATCTCATAATTAACCCAAAAGTTATAAGATATTAAGCCGTCCACTCACCTTGAACTAGCGTTATGAAGTTCTACCCTTCTTGGTTGAACTCCGGTGAAACTCCGGCGACTTTTGGTCAACTCCGGTGACAACTCCGGCGACTTTTCCAACTTTGTGAAACCACTTGAAATACCCTTTACAAGTTCCTAACAAGGTTTTATAGTCATAAAACCCATATTAATATAAATAACCTCAAAAAGGTTATTTTCCGGTGAACCGGTAGTTTTGGCCTCTAAGTCCGTTCTTGGACATAGAACCATCTTCCAACCCATAAATCCATACTTATAACATGTGGAATCATACTAAGGGTCCTTCACATGATATATACCTCATATGGTAGAAGAAAAATAAAGGAAAAGTTATAATAAGGTCATTACCTTAATTAATCACACTTTTCCCAACTTTTTCCTTCTCAAATCTTCCTCCTTGGACCTCTATGGCTTGAGCTCGAGTTGTAGCAATGGAGAGTGTTTTGAGAGCTCAATTTTCTTCTTCTTGGAGGGGATTGGTCGAGCACAATGATGAGGAAGGAGGTAGGAAGTGTCCTTCTTTGTCTTGGTTGACAAATAATGTGTGTGGGTGAGGTCCACACCTCAAATGATCCCATTCCAATCAACTTAGCTCCATCCTCACATGTTGTGCGGCCACACAAGTCCCATTTGAGACCCAAAAACGTGGGGTGGCCCCCACTCATGTGGGAGATCATCCCAACTTGTCCCGAAATGTACAATCGGCCCCGAAAGTTGTATTTTTCAGACTGTTTTAAATATATTTTATTTTATCGGGTCAAATAAAATATATTATGTGCTCTCAATCGTAATGGCCTTTTGAAATAATATGTATTCCAAAACATTAATTTAGAAATCTCCGAAATTCATTTTCGGGCTGTTATCTGTTAAGTTGTCGGTACCGGTATTTGGGCCTCTTTTGCCCAATCGGTCAACTCTGGGCCTTTTCACGACCCAAATAAAATATCCACCACTATATAAATATTATTTCGACCCATAAGAATGATTTATGTGATCTCGGGAATGTCGGGTGGCCCCCCGCTCCCGGTGTGGGTCCCACGTGCAATTTACTATTCACGCGAAAGAAATAATAAAAATTTACAACTTCGTAAATTCATTAATCCTTTAATAAGGTTCAATACATTATTTACATGAAAGTAAATATATTTGGGGACGGTGTTACAAGTTCACCCCCCCTTATTTGGGATTTCGTCCCCGAAATCCAAGTATCTAATTGAAAAGAAATGGGTATTGTTCCCTCATTGAGACTTCGGTCTCCCACGTTTCTTCCTTGACTCGATCACTTCTCCAAAGGACCTTTACCATAGGAATCTCCTTATTCCTCAATTTCTTTACTTGTTGACCAACAATCTTCACTGGTTCAACCGCATATTGTAAGTCCTCACGGATCTCTACCGGCAGTTTCTCAAGAATATGAGATGGGTCTCGTATGTACTTCTTGAGCATTGATACATGAAACACGTCGTGTATCTTCTCAAGTTCAGGCGTTAACTTGAGACGATAATCCACGGCCCCGATCCTTTCAAGGATCTCAAACGGACCTATGTATCGGGGGTTAAGCTTTCCCCTCGATACAAATCGAACGATGCCCTTCCAAGGAGAAATCTTTAGGAAGACCTCATCACCGACTTCGAACTCCAACGGTCTCTGCCGTTTATCAGCATAACTCTTCTGTCGGTCTTGAGCAGCCTTCAGTCTCTCCTGAATGATCCTCACCTTGGCCTTGGTGATCTCAACCAGTTCTATTCCTTCGAGTTTGGCCTCGCCAACCTCGTCCCAACACAACGGTGTTCTGCATTTCCTCCCATACAATGCCTCATACGGAGGCATGCCGATACTTGCTTGATAACTGTTGTTATAAGCAAACTCCACTAGGGCCAAATGCTTGTCCCAACTTCCTTGGAACTCCAGCGCACATGCCCTAAGCATGTCTTCCAAAATCTGTATCACCCGTTCAGACTGTCCATCCGTCTGTGGGTGAAAAGCTGTGCTAAACTTCAGTTTAGTCCCCAAAGATGCTTGAAACTTTGGCCAAAATCGGGATGTGAATCGTGGATCCCTATCCGAGACAATGGATATTGGGACTCCATGTAATCTCACAATCTCCTCTGTGTAGAGCTTGGCCAATCTTTCAAGAGGATAAGTAATGTTGATAGGCAGAAAGTGTGCACTCTTGGTGAGCCTATCAACCACTACCCATACTGCGTCATAGTTGTTCACTGTTCGTGGTAGCCCCACCACGAAGTCCATGGTCACGTGCTCCCACTTCCACTCTGGGATGGTGAGTGGTTGCAAAAGCCCTGCCGGGTGCTGATGTTCTGCCTTAACTTGCTGGCAAGTAAGGCATCGACTCACATACTCTGCGATGTCTCTCTTCATACCTGACCACCAGTAACTTTCCTTCAAATCTCGGTACATCTTAGTACCTCCTGGATGCATAGCATAAGCTGAAGAATGAGCCTCCTCAAGTATAGACTTCTGGAATTCCTCATTCTTTGGTATGCATACACGATCCTTAAACAATAATAGACCGTCATCACGTACTCGGAAGTTCTCAACGGGCCCCGCAAGGATCCTTTCACGGATCTTCTGACATTCCTCATCCATGGCCTGACTTCGACTAATCTCGCCCAATAGGGTGGGCCTAACCTCGAATCGAGCAATGAGAGCCCCACACGTGGACACCTCCACGCGTGCCCTCAATGCCTGTAGACATGTGAGTAGCGTCCCTGTCGTATTCTTCCTGCTCAGTGCGTCGGCCACGACATTGGCCTTTCTGGGATGATAGTCGATGATCAAGTCATAGTCCTTGATCAACTCCATCCATCTCCTCTGCCTCATATTCAACTCTTTCTGAGTGAATACGTACTTCAAGCTCTTATGGTCTGTAAAAATGTGACATGTCTCCCCGTAGAGATAATGCCTCCAGATCTTCAGTGCAAACACTACCGCCCCTAATTCTAGATCATGGGTAGGGTAGTTCACCTCGTGCTTTCTTAATTGCCTTGAAGCATAGGCAATCACTTTACCGTTTTGCATCAGTACACATCCAAGCCCTTGGATGCTAGCATCACTGTAGATATCATACCCTATCCCCTGTATGGGTAGGGCTAGGACTGGTGCTTTGGTAAGTCGTTTCTTCAGTTCAAGGAACCCTTTCTCACACTTGTCGTCCCATATAAACTTGGCCCCTTTCTTTGTGAGCTTCGTTAATGGGGACGCCAATACGGAGAATTTCTCAACAAATTTACGATAGTATCCCGCTAGGCCAAGGAAACTACGTATTTCTTTCACATTCTTGGGTCTCTCCCAATCCATGATAGCTTTTATCTTGGCGTTATCCACAGCAACGCCCGAACCGGATATGACATGACCGAGGAAACCAATCTCCTTGAGCCAAAATTCGCATTTAGAGAACTTGGCAAAGAGTTGCTTTTCCCTTAGCCGATCAAGTATAAGCCCCAAATGATGTTCGTGCTCCTCCCCGCTCTTGGAGTATATTAAGATGTCATCAATGAATACTATCACAAATTGATCTAAGTATTCACTAAACACACGGTTCATCAAGTCCATGAATGCTGGCGGTGCATTGGTTAAACCAAATGACATCACAAGAAACTCGTAGTGACCATATATCTAGTGCGAAATGCACTCTTAGGTATGTCACTCTCCTTGATCTTCAACTGATGATACCCCGACCTCAAGTCAATTTTCGAGAACACTATTGCCCCTCGAAGTTGATCGAACAAGTCATCAATCCTCGGTAAGGGATACCTGTTTTTGATGGTGACCTTGTTCGATTGTCGGTAGTCGATACACATTCTTAGCGTACCATCTTTCTTCTTTACGAAGAGTACGGGTGCTCCCCACGGTGAATGACTGGGTCTGATGAACCCGTTGTCCAGTAATTCTTGTAGTTGGACCTTCAACTCTTGGAGTTCGGCCGACACCATTCGATAAGGAGGAATCGAAATGGGTTTGGTTCCCGGCTCCACTTCAATTACAAACTCTATCTCTCTATCGGGTGGAAGCCCCGGTAGGTCTTTGGGAAATACATCCGGGTATTTGCATACGACCCATACATCTTTGATGTCGACTTCCTTCTTGGTATCGTCCACCACGTAGGCAAGGTATGTGTGGCATCCCTTCCTCCTCATCTTCCGTGCTCTCATCACGGATATGATACATGCATGGGACTTCCCCCGATCTCCTTCAAAACATAGCGTGTTCCCTTGATCATCCTCGAGCTCCAACACCTTGGTGTAGCAATCCACTCGAGCATGGTGTTTCTCGAGCCAATCTATTCCTAGGATTGCATCGAACTCCAACATGCTTAGAGGTACGAAATCACAAGTCAAATGTTGACCCGTCACTTCTACCTCACACGACGGATAGAAATGATTCCTCTCCACGTCGTCTCCTAACGGTGTGGATACTAGCAACGTTTGTGTCATAGGTGTCAATGGCACGTCAAGGCCCTCGGCGAACGCCTCACTCACAAATGAGCGTTGTGCCCCGGTATCGATGAGGATCCTCGCACACCTACCATTGATCTTTAATGTTCCTACATTTATACACCATGTAAGATACCTTTTCTAATGTTTTTTACGCATCTTTAGGAGGTTATTAGGTTCATATTAATGTTTGGAATCAAACGGGGGTCCAAACGTAGAAGAACGGGACGAAAAAATCAAGTTTCGGGTGCCAGGGGTCCACGCACGGCGTGCGTAGGGGGTACGCACGGTCGTGCATACCTTGCCTTCCCAATGGAGGCTACTGCCCCCAACGCACGGAGGGACGCACGGGCAACGCACGGCCGGGCGTGCAGCGATTTCCTCCGGGGTGCTACTGCCACCAACGCACGGAGGTACGCACGGGCAACGCACGGCCGTGCGTGCAGCGATTTCCTCCGGGGTGCTACTGCCACCAACGCACGGAGGTACGCACGGGCAACGCACGGCCGTGCGTGCAGCCCAGCCTGTAGTGCGTTGGCAGAAATCAACCCGATTTCGCCCAATTTCGCCCAATTTCGCTCCGTTTGATCCCGGGGTGGCCCGAACTCAACCCCCAACGGTGTATATGATCAAAATAAGCCTAGAAATACATGGAATTAAGTGTATTACCTGCGACGGAGTCCGGGTTTGCCCGCGCATCCGCCTCGGTCATCGCGTAGTCTCGTGCTTGGGCCCTGCCTTGATTGACGGACGTAGCGTTGCTCGCCGTTGGTTCCGTATGGTTTCCTTCCACGGTGAGCCCTTCCTTGGCTTGTGATGTCTCTCGTTGCCTCCTCCATGGGCAACTTAATTTCATGTGGGTTGTGCTCCCACATTCGTAGCACATCGGGGGCTCGTTGCACTTTCCAAAATGTTTCTTAAAGCAATTCGAACATTTGGATGGTCTGAAAGAGTAAGGAAAGGACGTATGCCACCTTGAGGTCCTTTTCTTTTTCACCGGTGATGCCGGTGCCGTAAGAGTGCTTTCTCCTCCTTGGTCGTTTGCCCAAGGATGGGTTTGGCTGACAGTCATATCACGTTGGGAGGTGGCCCGATCTCGCCTCGCCTGACGCCTACGTTCTTTCCTCCTGGTGTTCATGTTACACATCGAGCCCACTTGATTAGCGCTTGCCGCTTGGCAGCCCTCATGGCCCCCATGGCCTATTCCTCTCCCCGTAAAGGCTCGTGACACAGCCCGGCTAGCCTCAAGGTAAGCTACCGACGCTTGTCCCTTAGGGTCATTCCTTGTTGCCATTCGCTTACCCTCCATTTCTGAAACGGAATTTGGATGAGTCTTTAGACTCCTATGAATGTCAATTGACGGAAAAAACGTTATAGACACGTATTGACCCAAGTCACCACCATACCAATTGTTAAGGGTACCGTCTTAACAATTAGAGGCCTTGCAACTTAAGCACCAATAGTCCTATAAACGTCAAAATACAATGCTCATGGTTTTCGGTAAAAACTCTTTTGTAAAATCTGTTGTGAGAGGTTGATTATATACTTTAGAACTGAGATGGCTCTGATACCACTTAATTGTCACACCCCAGACCGCAATCCAAGCGCGTGTACAACCGCCGTATAATTAAGTGACGTCACCCGCGAGTCAACCTCACTTAATTACACAAGGCGTTTGAGAAAACAATCCATCCATACTCAGTAGTAAACATACATAACAACATCACATTTAAACCAATGAATAGCGGAAATATTCAACGGTAAGTCATAAGCCACAACCGGCCAATAACATGGGCATGCAAGCCCAAAAATGGTTTATAAGAAACAAAAATATCCATGAGCAATGTTTGGTACTTTGAAATAAAATGAGGAAGCACGAACCACGTCTTCCTTGATTTGATGTCACCCGTAGAAAGGTGCAGGTAGCAAGCCCTAGCTTCAACCTGAAAATGGTGGGCCCCCCCGAAGGGGTCAGTACAAGTACCGAGCGAGTAGCAGGCTAAATATAGAATAACTAGCGTTTCAAGTATAAGACCCGAACATAGGGTGATACATATACGTATAGTCCTTCCCCCAAGTTTGAAATACATATTAGTATACATACACTTGGAAATACCCGACCCGTAGGTCATTGTTTATTTGGGAAAATAATAGTAGCCAATATCATTGACTTAAATCCCAACCCACCCATATACCTATGAGTGTATAGAACCCCCCTTTGTTCAAATAAATTATCATAAGGACACCGCCCGGTCCTAGATCATTAAATGTAATCTATGAGTTTTGAGGATACACGCCCAAACCTTGGGTACTCCACCCTATAACCGAGTTTTGAGGATAACCGCCCGATCCTTGGGTACTCCACCCTATATAATCGAGTTTTGAGGATAACCGCCCGATCCTTGGGTACTCCACCCTATATAACCGAGTTTTGAGGATAACCGCCCGATCCTTGGGTACTCCACCCTATATAACCGAGTTTTGAGGATAACCGCCCGATCCTTGGGTACTCCACCCTATATAACCGAGTTTTGAGGATAACCGCCCGATCCTTGGGTACTCCACCCTATATAACCGAGTTTTGAGGATAACCGCCCGATCCTTGGGTACTCCACCCTACATAACCGAGTTTTGAGGATAACCGCCCGATCCTTGGGTGCTCCACCCTATATAACCGAGTTTTGAGGATAACCGCCCGATCCTTGGGTGCTCCACCCGACCTATGACTTACCACATATCACACTAGATAGGGTCTATATCATATTTAGTCATCCATAACTAATTCAATACATAAAACTTATGTATCACATTCCATGCAAAGCCATGCAATTATATAAACGTATAATTAATTAATACCAATCGATATTAATTAATCCATTATCCATCGGTCAACGTTGTTGTTGTTGACCGCCCTCTCAAGTCTTACACTTATTAACTAAATCATCACATAATTAAGTTAGTAAAATCCATTTGTGCTTCTTTTACACTTAAAGCAAATATGCATTATATAATTTCTCATATCATATTTCATGCATAAACAATTACTTCTTTTCATACGCACTTAACTATGTTGACTAATCACATGTTTAAATATCTTTTAAACATCATTATGAACACATATTACATTTATTTAGGTAATCTCATAATTAACCCAAAAGTTATAAGATATTAAGCCGTCCACTCACCTTGAACTAGCGTTATGAAGTTCTACCCTTCTTGGTTGAACTCCGGTGAAACTCCGGCGACTTTTGGTCAACTCCGGTGACAACTCCGGCGACTTTTCCAACTTTGTGAAACCACTTGAAATACCCTTTACAAGTTCCTAACAAGGTTTTATAGTCATAAAACCCATATTAATATAAATAACCTCAAAAAGGTTATTTTCCGGTGAACCGGTAGTTTTGGCCTCTAAGTCCGTTCTTGGACATAGAACCATCTTCCAACCCATAAATCCATACTTATAACATGTGGAATCATACTAAGGGTCCTTCACATGATATATACCTCATATGGTAGAAGAAAAATAAAGGAAAAGTTATAATAAGGTCATTACCTTAATTAATCACACTTTTCCCAACTTTTTCCTTCTCAAATCTTCCTCCTTGGACCTCTATGGCTTGAGCTCGAGTTGTAGCAATGGAGAGTGTTTTGAGAGCTCAATTTTCTTCTTCTTGGAGGGGATTGGTCGAGCACAATGATGAGGAAGGAGGTAGGAAGTGTCCTTCTTTGTCTTGGTTGACAAATAATGTGTGTGGGTGAGGTCCACACCTCAAATGATCCCATTCCAATCAACTTAGCTCCATCCTCACATGTTGTGCGGCCACACAAGTCCCATTTGAGACCCAAAAACGTGGGGTGGCCCCCACTCATGTGGGAGATCATCCCAACTTGTCCCGAAATGTACAATCGGCCCCGAAAGTTGTATTTTTCAGACTGTTTTAAATATATTTTATTTTATCGGGTCAAATAAAATATATTATGTGCTCTCAATCGTAATGGCCTTTTGAAATAATATGTATTCCAAAACATTAATTTAGAAATCTCCGAAATTCATTTTCGGGCTGTTATCTGTTAAGTTGTCGGTACCGGTATTTGGGCCTCTTTTGCCCAATCGGTCAACTCTGGGCCTTTTCACGACCCAAATAAAATATCCACCACTATATAAATATTATTTCGACCCATAAGAATGATTTATGTGATCTCGGGAATGTCGGGTGGCCCCCCGCTCCCGGTGTGGGTCCCACGTGCAATTTACTATTCACGCGAAAGAAATAATAAAAATTTACAACTTCGTAAATTCATTAATCCTTTAATAAGGTTCAATACATTATTTACATGAAAGTAAATATATTTGGGGACGGTGTTACACAGTGAGATTAGGAGCTTTCTGAGAAGAGTAAGTTGGGTAAAAAATTAGACCAATTAAAACGCTTTAAATATTAAGCTAATACATATGAGTCTCTGTAATGAGAATCTTATCTTAAGAAAGTTTGAAGATTAGAATAGTTAAGATGTTTTTACTTATATTGAAAATTTCCAGTCTGGTCTAATATGCCCCGATCTATTTATGTTTGATCTAGTCTTGTCTAATCTGATAGATGTATCTTCAAGGTATACGTTACGACTATTGAACATTTGTCTACGCTTGTTTGATTTGTTATGTTTAAATTTGGTTTGGTTTATCTGAAATCAATCCAGTTAAAAATTCCCTAATATTGAAATACTTAAAGATTCAAAGTTTCCAAAAATTAAAGACTAAATTTTAATTAAATTCATTATTAAAATTCAAATGATTTAAGTGAACAGTTTTTTTCTTAAGAGAGAGGCTTAAATTGATATCACAAAGATAGGGGTTAAAAAGATATAAGGACCACATGCAACCGTCAGTCCTCGAACCAAACTTAGAGTTAATCACCTTCAAAAGAGCAATATCACTCATTGATCCTATAATGGGCTTACAACCTTACATGAGCCAAAGACGGTTAAAGTAGACCTTCCAACACTCAATCCTAATGCAAGAGACTTATAACAAAACATCAAAGAACATAAATGTAAACAGTCTGATAAAAAAATAACAACTAAAAAAACAGTAATAGAAAAATCCTTCTCCATCCTTAAGTGCACAGCTGCCAACCAAGCTACATGCATGGCGAGCACCTTCATACATCCTGATGGGTCTACTAATAGAGACCCACCTCCTCCTCGTTTTTTGGCTTGTCAAGCGCCATGCTCTCTCCAACTAGATCCTCCCGTTCCTTCTCCTCCCAGATCCTCCTGTGTTTTTTTTATCTCGCAGCATCTCCTCCTTGCTCACAGAGTCTCCTTCCTTAGTGGAGCTAGTTCCTATTCCCATAGTAGTCTCCCTCAAGTCCTGTCCTCGTGTGCCCAGATATCACTGTTCTGCTGTACTCTCATTCCTGTACTTGATGATCCTTCTACCAGTCACTTGTTGCCTCTTGTAGGACTATTGTCCCCTAGCTCTAAGATGAACTCCATAAGTTTTATTCAAACTAGTGTTACCTCCCTCATACACTATGGACAAAACATACCAGAATGACCAATAACCCAATAGATAAAGTAAAAATTAGGTAGTTTTTCATATTTGAAGTCCACCCAATGGCTAATTCCCCCATTTTCAATGTCGTTCTTTTTTTCAAGCGTTTCGTTATATCCATACATACCCTAATGCGCATATAAGCCTCCCATTTTTCATTAAACTAGCTTTCATCAAGACCAACAAACTTTCCAATATAATTACCAATTCTCCTAGTTGTTCCTAGATTCATAAATCCATAAACAACATTATGAACATGTACCCAAAATTCATCCTCATTTAGGCTAATCTTGAGAGGAATATCCTCTGCCTGATTTCTTTGAGAATTAGCAAATTTGTCTCAAACAACCATATGTCATCCTCTAAAACACGTCTCATATCCAAAATATGATAAAAAGTAAAGATATACATCTTCTCACCAATCTTCTTTATTGGCACACCTTTGACCGGTCGCTACAGAGAGGCCATAAGCTCCTTAAAGATATGGAATTTGATCTTCCGATAAGTGAGTATCATGCCAACCACCGGAAACATCACCTTACCATCGCCCGCCACATCTTCTCCTCCTTCGTCATCATCGAAGTTCAGTTCCTCGCATTCCTCGCGAATTGCCATGTTTTTGCAC